CTTTCTGTGCTGAAAGGTTGCTGTGGAAAACAATTGCCTTTGTTTAAAGGAAGACCAATGCTCATAAAACTGACTCTTGCTAAAGTCCTTCAGGTAAGTAGGATGAAGTTGGGGTGCATTGAGGACTAATGATCTAATACAGGAGAAGCAGCCACCGGTAGAATTAGCAGACCAAGAAATAGAGGATAATTGTATGTGGCATATGTTGGAATCTACGATTCAGCTCACGATTTTTGAGTGGTAGTTATCTAATCATTCTCTTTTACATGTGTCTACAGGAGAAAAAAAAAAAGAAAGTAATTTGCAGAATGCTGGTAAAAAGGAGGAGAAGAAAACCCTGCAAATATTTTGATGTTGTTTCAGTGATGACTTGCTTAGGCTTTGAAGCGGTGATGAGTCTAAAATGGAGCCTTGCCACAACAACATGCACTGCAATAGCTGTTGCACTGGTGTTTGTGGCCAGACCTCTGTTTGAAAGAAGAGACCTCTGATCCTCCTCATCTCATTTAAGGGACAATTTCTGTCCCTGGCTGCTAATTGCAAACCAGGGAACAGAATTAAGACTGGTAAAGCCTTGGAGATTCAATTTCTTTTAGTAACAGCCAACTAACTGGTCTCAGTTAATGGTTGTGGTCATCCTCCCAGCTGAGTCCCTAGGGCGCTTCCTCTTGCAGCAAATCTCACCTGTGTCTTTTGGGAACTGTACATGAGTGAGTGGCCTTTCCTTTCCTTTTTTTTTTTTTTTTCTTCCAGCTGTACAGATGGTAACATCATTACAATTGTAATAACTCATGTCTCTCAGTTACCAATGATCAGACCTTACAGAGAAGAAGACACTGCTGATGAACACGATCAAGGCTCTTTGCGTACCGAGCAGTTTCCAAATGAAGAGCAGCAGGGGAGCAGCTGCAGCAGATACCTGTATATCCCTTAGCAGGAGCGGCTCTTGTGCTGTGTCACACTGCACTCACAAAGCTGATGATGGTATTTCATGCACCTTCAAATCTACCCAGCTACGTTTGCAGAGTTGAGACAAAAAATGTCTGATGAAGGTGGGAGCTTTGCTGCCGTTCCCAGGGTAGCAGTCCTTTGAGACTGGATTTGGTTGCAAAGAAATCCAACAAATTTACTGACTCCCAGCCCAGATTTCCACCATCTTGTTGCACTGTGTTCAGTGTTTATTTGCACTGTCCGACAAGCTGACTGTGTACTGAGTACTGTGTGAGGGAGCACTGTGGCTTTGTGCTCTGTGGATTGAATTCATGTCTCCAGGCTGCCTTGTAACTGAGTATGGTTGACCCATAACTGACGCCCTCCATTCACATGCAGTACTTCATCATCTGCATCCTTTGCGTGCAGTGAGGATGCCAGTCAACTCATGAAGGATTTTGGCTTTATCTAAACAGAGCTTTTGTCATCTCCTGCATTCCACTGCAGGCTGCAGCCCCTTCTTGACTCACTCAAGAAATGACATTGACTCACAACATTTTTCCTCTGTCTTCCTGGGTGGCAAACAAGGGCCTGTAGAGGGGAAGGAGATACTCTTGTCTCATAAACTGTTTTTGAAGTCAGTATGCAGCTTTCTTCATCCAGATGCATCTGTACCATGCAATATCTTGATGGCCACCTGGCTACAGCCACTTTACAGAACTGATGGTGCATTTATGAATGTGTCCTCAAGTGCTCTAGGTGCAGGATGCTCAAATGTCAGCTCTTTTTCTAAATGCTGACATGCAGTCAGGATGAGCAGCATACTCCTGCAATCGATATGTGGCTATCAGTTCCCCCAGCACGCAGGGCTAGGACTTGTGTGTGTTAAGGAGCCCTGCAGAGGTGATGTCCTGGCTGGAGGGTACTGGAACATGGCAGCAAGAAGACACAAGGCTTTCAGGAGAGGTCTTGCCACATAGGCAGACTTTGGGCTTGGAATGCCAATATATTGCTGGGGTTCATGTGACAGCAGTGACTGCAGCAGAGAGCCTTCTGGTTCTGTGAGTGTGAAGGTGGCACTGCATATGCAGCCCTCTGGGCTGTGGGCACCATCCCTTCAGGCACGAACTCGCAAGCAGTGTCCATCTGCACCCTGCACAACACTGGCACCTCTGTGCTGCCCTGTCATTTCAGTATTTAGGTTGTTGAGGAAGGCAGGACTTGAGCTTTTAAGTCCATCTCAGAAGTCTCTCCTACTCAAGTCTCTTTGCTCATACAGCACGTTCCACAAGAATTAAGCAACAAAGAAATAATGAAATAATGGTTTTTGCTTTGCTCGCTTTGTTTCTCTGCTACTGCATATTTGTGTCACTTGCTCTCCCTTGTGCTACATGCTTTACTTCTTGCAGTACGCCAGAGGAAAGGTGACAACTCCACTGAGACTTCCCCCAGTCTAAGTCTGAAGGGGCTACGCAGGAGCCTGCAGAGTTTGGTGGACGTAGGCTAAAGCACTGATGGTGCTCATAATGTTACTTGAAGTCTTCTAAAGTACTTTTTTTTTTTTTTTCTTAGATTCATTGAAGGAAACAAAATAGAAACCATATCAAGAAATGCATTTCGTGGCCTTCGAGACCTGACCCACCTGTAAGTTATTTAACACTTAGAAATTTGTACTGGAGCACAACTCTTCCTCGCGATAGATGGTTTTCAAGCCAACACCTCTGACTGTTGGTAATGTGCTTTCTATAAATTAAGAAGTGACCTTTAAAAAATGCCTGCTCAGGCAGCACTGCAGCACATCCAGCTGCCTGTGCATGCTCACAGGTCTCACTGGGGTACAACCCTTGCCTGTGGGTGCTGCCAGCGGTGCCACTGTGGTGTTACGTACTTGTAGTTAACATTCCTCTTTTTCTCCAGCATGTTCAGTCATTGATCTCTGTTACATTTCACCCAATAAAACAGCTTTATATGTTTTACTTCTGCATCAGCTTCATATTCTTCAAGGAATCACCATTCTTAAATAAGTATAATGAATGCATGCGTGTTCCTGGTAGTTATTAACAATGCTGGTGACTGGAAAGTATCCCATAATTAACATTTTGTAGGTGAGTTCAGACTTAACAGGTGTCAACAAGATGGTATGAGAGATGATGTAACGATGATACTAAGCTCTAACTTTCTTTTCTAGTTCTTTGGCCAATAACCATCTGAAAACTCTGCCAAGGGATGTCTTCAGTGATTTAGATTCTCTAATTGAACTGTAAGTCATGAAAATCTTTCTGTTGACCTCCTGCTACTATCACTCTGTTGCTCTGCAGTTTAAATTCTGCATTTGTGTGGTGCTGTGTATGTAAATGTGCACTTTGTTGTTCTGTCTTTTCTCATTTTAATATTATTTACTTGATGGACTTCTCCAAAATGACTGCTGTTTCTCAAATCACTGATTTGAGAAACAAATGTTTTGCATATATTTTTTTTTTTAGTGGAATGGACAATTAATTTTATGACAGCAATTTCTCTGAATAGTTTTTTCTGTTAATGTTGCAAGTATTCCATGAGATTATTTTAGTTGAAGGTGTTAATTTACAAATATACTTTTTCACGCAGTTGTAGCATATTGCTGTCTTACTGCCAGTGTTTTCATGTATAGCTATGCTGCTAGTCAGCTTCCTGTTTTTGGCCTGGCTCTCTCAACTAAAGATTGTAGCCACAAGAATTGCCATGGGGTTGAAGACTGGGCACGTTAGTTAAGCTGCCCCTACCGTTAAGCTGTTAGTAAGTTAGACTCCACATCAGGACTGACTCTAACAATACTAGCCTTACATCTGTATTTACATCTGCACAGAAATTATACCAGCAAGACCATCCTGCTCACCAAAGGTGCCTGGGTAGTTCAGTGAAGGGGTGGGATTTGTGTGTGCCAGCAGTAGATGATGGGATGCAGACTTGCAGCAGACAAGTGCTCTGTGAGGATTTATTGTGCTCTAGTCCTAATCCTTTGAAAAGTTGTAAACAGGGGTGACTTTACATGAATCACAGTGCTTTTATTGCTAGCATTGTACCTGGGCTTATTTCCTAGACTGAAACTGTTTTTCTAGGGTGAACACTTCAGTGAATGAGCGTAGGTATTAAGAACACGTTAAGAAGTCTTTCCTCCTCTCACTTCAAAAACATATCAGAGTTGTGTTTTAAGTTCATTATGTCAAGGTGCTAACAGTTCTGTAAGTTCATACTGCTATCAACCTTTTCAAATATGTTTATTTTTGTGTGTTTTTTAGAGATTTAAGGGGAAATAAATTTGAGTGTGACTGCAAAGCCAAGTGGTTGTTTTTGTGGTTAAAGATGACAAATTCCACTGTTTCTGATGTCCTCTGTATTGGTCCAGCAGAATATCAGGATAAGAAGTTAAATGATGTGACAAGTTTTGATTATGAATGCACCACTACAGGTATTCAGAATGTACATTTCTAAGCACACTACAAATAGCTAAATATCAGAGGTGTATATTACACTACAGCACCTCTGTGAGCATGACATGGTGGGAGGAAGAGAAAAAAGGGTAACATACAAAGCACCGTGGTATACTAGAACAAGCATAAAATGAGAAAATTACATTTTGAAGCCAAAGTACAGTTTTTACTGAGATTAAGTGATAATGGGAGAAGGGTTGGGAGTAGCCATATTCTTAAAGTCTTGCTTATTCTTAAAGTCTTAGGGCTTGCCAGTGACCTAATTTTCATCACAGCATGCATTCTATTGTATGGAATAAGGCCATATAGTTATGTCAGATGAACTTCCTAAAACGTTTTTTGCTTCACAGAAAGCAATGATGAGAAGTTCAAATGATTTGGCTATATCTGCTACCTTTATTCAGTAGACCACAATTTAATATCACCAAATGTGGCAACAATACTGCCAGCTGTTCTTTATGGTACTCCATTAAATTGGAGATAAATGTCCAATAATATTCCGAGTACTGTCTTGTTTAGGTTCTTGATTTTTATTTTAGGTAATGTAAAGCATGCAGACCGAAGTGAAGAGACACTTGCATGTGGGTATGCTTATATTTCATGACCAGATAGCAGCAGTTGCCTGTATTTAAATGTAGTCACATCATACAACTGAGAATATCAGCTGCAGGTATTGTTTTCATGTTTCCTGTATATCATGTCAGCACTTTGCCTTTTCTTTTCTATACAGTAATATCAGAGGCATTCAAGTTCTTTCATCTGTCATCAAATTAGTCTTCATCATTAAGAGACAGTAGAGAATTTTATATTACTAGTAATATAAAATAAAGTTTCGGGACACGATATGAATGGTAATCCAAGGGCAATATTTAAAGGGAAAGAGAATAAATTAAAAATTAAAAAATATGTCAGAAGAGCAGCAGGGATAAAGCATGATAATGTGCCTCATAAAAGGATGTCAAATGCAGGTGACCAATGTAGCTTAGAACTTTGCCCGGGTTACTGTGTCTGTAAATCCATGGAGGTGCAGAAATAAGGTGTAAAAGTAAGCTTCATTTTAGTTTAAGAATCTAGTTTAAGAAATTGCACAGCACTGACAGTATGGGAAAACAATCCTTGCTTATCTTCCTGGCCCTCAGACCTAAATTAACCTCTCTATACTGTGTCATTTCTTTGCGTCTAGATAGCTGACGTCTAGATACGAACTGAAATGGCTACAGGCTAAATTCATCCATAAAGTTAGTCTCTTTGTCTGCTATAAATGAAATTTCACTGAGCATAAGTGTAACATCACGTGCTGTAGATTTTGCTGGGAAGCTAAGGTGTTATGTGGTGCAAGGATTGCACAGCGAATGTTTTTATTCAAAGGCCACCTATGCTCTAGCCGCAGGCATATGGATATAACATACTCTTCAGATAGTATAAAAGATGTTTTCCAACCAGACGAGGACACTGTGCCTAACCTGCTTGGCCTGAGAGCAGACAGCAGTCTGGAGCTCAGGTCTGTAGTGAAGGTGTAGAAGCAGTGGGGCCTCAGCATCCTTACAGAGCATCTGAGAGGGATAGCATTCATACAGAAGTGACCTATAAGAGACTATCAAATAGAGTGTAAATGTAAGTCTTCAGGACTGTGTCATTTCAGACAGCATCACGTGCCATGCATTGAACCAGTCACTACCTTGCTGTGAACTGCAGCCCTGCAGTGGACTTGCTGGTGGCCTATGTTAGGTCACAACTGCCTTTCCCTTCTCTGCCCTTGCTTCCCCCAGATCTGGAGGGAGACAAAATATGCCCACATTCATTCCCTGAGGACTGGTGTGTTCAGCATGACTGGGTGTAGGATGTGGTAATGAAGGAGTTTGCTTGGTAAAGTATTTTCTCGTCAGCTCCATTGGCTTATTGCATCTGCTGAACTGGTGGTGACAGAAAGGGAGATGTAAAGAAGTGCTGCCAAATTAAAGAAAATCCAGAAGATGAAATGCTTGGTCACTTACTGTGAAAATTATTGACAGTGCCTGTGACCTGCACTTCTAACTCTTGCAGTTGTACCATCTTGTCTTTCCCATTTCTCACAGCTTGCATCATGAAACCGGTTAATCCATTTCACTTTGGGGTTTTTTTTGTTTGTTTGTTTGTTTTTATTTCTCCTACAGATGTATCCAGCAGCACTATGGTTTGGCTATAAGCCCCTTGAGGGAATGTGTACTTACTTTCAGGAGACTTGAAAGCAATCTTAGCACTTCTATTGCCTTTAAGGCCTAAATTTTTGGCAAGCCTGATGTGTCAACATCTCTTTAGTGTGTAACTGTGTTCCACATTAGTCTGGTATTTACAGCTTGGTTTACTGTTTTTTAATTGATTATGTCTGATTTAGTTACCCGTTTTTAGTCATGCAGTGCCATAAAGAGCCCAATGACAGGTGCAAGTAAAAATAGCAGTGTTAACACTGAATCATTTCTGAACAAGCAACGGATTTTAACTCACAAACTGGTCTGTTTTAATTTGCAGATTTCCTCAAAGTGCTTCAAAACTGTTGAGATATCTTTTTCAGTGTTAGAGCTATGCTTTTTTCCCCTCAAGATTTTAAAAATGTTTCAATTTTCTTTGACTACATCTGTTTCTGTCCCATCCTTTGCTACCTCTTATGATTTATCACTTCTTCTTTCTGCAAAATTTGTTGTTGGTGTTTCCCAGTCTTTTTGTTTTTCCAGTGGGAATGAAGGTAACTTTCTTGTTTTCCTATTTGCACTGCTGTGTCAATCCCATGCTCTGCTTGTAGCAGACCCTCACAGAATAGTGACTGTTGTTTCTGTTGCAGCTCTGGAACCTGTTGTGTTTGTGTGATGGTTGTCATCTGTCTTTGTTCTCCAGAACAAGCTCCTCAAGAGCAAAAGCTTTCATGCATGCAGAGACAAAGAGTTCTTAATTGAAAAACTAGTATTTCTTAACATGCCAGACTGAGGGACCAAAGTGAGGACTTGATTAGAAATCCCAAAATCCCTGAATGCTCAGGCCCTTCAAAAGTACGAGTGAATGGTGGAAGCATGTAGCAAATGGAACTTCAAGCAGGCAATGTCTGGTTCTTCAGAGAAACTCTATCCTAGCGGAATGTTCATTTCCTTTTCTGTATGCTTGTATCTACATAAATTCCATGCAGGTCTTCTGGTACCTCCTAGGCCAAAGTACCTTTGAAGTGCTGGCTTTTCTTTGTCAACTCTGCTATATTTATTTCTTTTTCTGATAATGATGACTTTGCCAAGTTTTAGGCCAAATATCAATTTCAGGGTTTCCTTTTTTTGCCCCAGGCTGGCTCTGTACTGACTTAGCTCAATATGAATTTTAGGACTAAATCTGCAGGCGCTTGGCTTTTGAGCAAAAATCTTGAACTTTGGGCTGGTCTTTACAGATTGCTCCAACTCCTCAGTCTTAGTATTTAGATTAAGTTTTCCACTGGATAGTAATTTGAAGGTTGGTTGTATTTTATGCTTAAACTACTTTACAATGCCCCATAAAACGCTACGTTAACTGAGATTTTGATTACACCATTTTATCTATCGTCTAGCCAAAATGGGGTTGTCCCCAGGCAAACTTCAGATATTATTTCACTTTCTGCCTGGTTTAGCGTAACACAAATTGCTAGTGATTAAATTTGCATGTCTTAAGAAGTTATTGGACTTCAGCTGGAAGTTGCTGGCTCTCAGCTTGAAAATGATTCTACCAAGGCCATTTGACTTGATGGGAAAGCAACTTCCAGCTGTGGGGAAAGAGTCTTCTCTTTGGTGGCATGTGACTGTTTGAATGTATCCTGATTTCAAGGATACCAGCCAGCCTAGCTGGGAAACTGAAATTCTGACATTATTTACCTGCTTGATCTCCTTTACAACTCTCTTTCCAGAGGACAGTTTAGGGATGCTTAAAGCAAGAAGACGCTTTCCCCTGTTGCTGCATGCCTAACGTGAGCACTGACACTTCCATCATAGGCCTATATAGAATTCAGAATATATCACTCATTTGCTGTTTGTAATCAACTACTACTTATTTTGCATTTTCAGCAAGAATGTATCCTAACTGTTGTAATGTGCTTTTTTAGATTTTGTTGTTCACCAGATTTTGCCCTACCAGTCAGTGTCAGTGGATACATTCAACTCTAAAAATGATGTGTTTGTAGCCATTGCACAGCCCAGCATGGAGAACTGCATGGTGCTCGAGTGGGATCATATTGAAATGAATTTCAGGAGTTATGACAACATCACAGGTAACTAACTCTGGGATTCTAAGTGGTGATGAACTATTGGCAGTTCACAAAGGTGAGATTCATAGATGGGAGCAGTTAGTTTCCATCCTACGTCATGTTGAAATTATCCAATTAAAGTATGCAATATTTGGACGTGAATGAGTAGTGCACTTTGTTCTTACATGCATGATTAACCTTGCTGTAGCACACAGACTAGGCTTTTTCAGTCTGAACTTGTAAATTGTTCTGACGCACAAATACTTCCTGTGAATGTAACATGATGGCCCGGCTCAGATATTCACTGCCTGAATCACACTGTAACTTAAAGGATAGGTTAAGAGAGCCCTTGCTGTTACCAAGTACATGCAGAAAGAAAAAGAAGATAAAAATATTCTACTGCAAGTAGAAGGAAATGGGTCTGAAGGGTGCATCTAGACAGGCTGGGCTTATTTCACAACTGAAGAGAACATAGATATATCAAAACCATGGTTATTAATTTAACAGCTGTACTGTAAAGCCTCCATGTTTTACCAAAACGCTGAATTTGCATGAATTTGGCCAGATTACTTACCAAATAAAAAGCCAGTGTTGATGTCTGGTTACTTTCTAATGCTAACAACCATTCTGTTCCTAATGACGCTGGCAGTGCTGTATGGAGCTCAGTCACAGAATCGCAGAATGGCTGACATGGGAAGGGACCCCCGGTTCATCTGGTGCAGCTCCCTGCTCAAGTAGGGCTGCGTAAAGCATGCTGCTCAGGAGAACTGTCTGCAGCAGGAGCAGAGTCTTTAGATCTTGGTCATACACCATGCTCTTTCCCTCCTATTTCAGCCTGTTGGGTCTGAAAACTTAAGGGCTAAATTTATCCATGGAGCATCCTTCCCTTCTGTTCTTTGCTTTGTATAATAGATTATTTTTTCCACTTTCAAGTTTTGGAAGCAGAGTATACAGTGTTCTCATCTGCTGTTCTGAAGTGTCTGCAAAGGCAGCAAGCACCAGCTTGTTCAGGTCAGCTGTGTGTGTCACTTGGGAAAATTAACAACATTCCACTTCTGTGTCAGGAAATTTTGGAAATGAAAAAAATTGTATTCTTAGGTTTTCATTGCGTTTTGGTAGATGAAGGGCAAATAAGAACCAGTGAATTTAATTAAGAAGAAGGTGGGCTAAAGGTAGCTAGCAGAGCTCCAGAACAGCTCTGGAAACGAAGTTGAGAGTCATTTCCAAAGTTCGTCTTCCTGTGAATGACATAGTTAGGAGACACTTCTCCTCAGAACTTTTTCCCTACCTCCATACCCAGAACATGCGTCAAAACTCATTTCTGAAATGACTCTCCTGCATTCCTAGGAAGCCTCAGATTAAGCTCTGTACTCTGATATGTAAGAGAGCTGGAAAGCTCAAGCATTCATAGAGCTTTTTGTGGAGCCTAAAGAGCATTTGCAAGGCTCAGGAGCAGGCTATCCATGCTGTGGGCAGTTTTGCTACTTGCTATACACTAGTCGGAGTTTAGCCCTTTGCAGTGTGGACCTAAACCAGTTGTGGAGAATTATGTTTATACTCAGTACATAGGGAAATAGATCTTGATATCCTCTCCTAAAGAAGATATCTACAGGCTGGGTAAAATCTTCACTAGAGTATTCTGTGACTAAATTAGACCAGAAAGAAACTGGATAATCAGCTTGAGTATTCCTGTCTACACTGCAGATATCTTATGGTATTCAAGATTAATCCTATCCCTCCAGCATTATTGGCTCTGGAAGGATGATAGTTCATCACAGACCAGCTGTGAAACAGCAGTGGGTAGGGGTCAACTATGGTGTCAACACGTGTCTGTTGGAATGACTGCAGTAAAGCAAGTACAGAGGAGTCTGTGCAGATGTCGTACTACATAAACTGTGTTTCAGAGAAGACTTCCTTTGCTGCAGCAGATCATTTCATACAGTTTGGTTATTACCTTTTGGTGTAGATTTTGTCTAGTGACTTGAGATTACAAAATTGATCATAACTGCAGTAGTCCTAAATATTCTGAGTTTAATATAATCTAAAATTTCAGGAATGCTTAAATGCTTAACAAACAACAAGGTTAGATTTATCTTTTTCCTCTTGCTGTCAGGGGCTATATCCACAGTATTTCTACTTACAGTGGCAAAAAGCTGGCTGTGACTCCTCAAGAAAAACAGAATATATTTCATCTTTCTGGTTAAACCAGAAATGTGGATTTCTTATGAATAAAAGAATTTCAAGTTCTTGCTGAGTCAGGAGATAACTCGTTATTTTGAGTAATAAAAACTGGATCAAATAATTGTTTTGGATAATAGGGAGTACATATTTGGACAGAGAAAGAAAACGTATTTTGGATGAAGAGGAACTTGCACACCTTGAGGGGTGTGATTTGAAATCATCTGTCCAGGTACTGGGGGGGGAAGGAAGCAAGAAAAGAAGCTCTGAGAGTGCATAGCAAAAGACAGATTATGAGATAAAGATTTAAAAGAGCAAAGGGTGATGTGGTGATGTCTCTGTGGTCTAAAGGGTGCTTTGTACTGTGCTAACGTGTGTTTTTCTTTTCTTTGGACATTAGGTCAGTCCATAGTGGGATGTAAAGCCATTCTTGTTGGTGACCAAGTCTTTGTGGTGGTGGCACAGCTCTTTGGTGGCTCACACATTTACAAGTATGATGAGAGCTGGACAAAGTTTGTCAAGTTCCAGGATATTGAAGTATCTCGCATTTCCAAGCCAAATGATATAGAGCTTTTTGAGATAGACAGTGAAATGTTTTTTGTCATAGCAGATAGCTCCAAAGCAGGTTTGTCAACAGTGTACAAGTGGAATAACAAAGGATTTTACTCATACCAGTCCCTTCATGAGTGGTTCAGGGACACCGATGCTGAGTTTCTTGATATAGATGGGAAATCACATTTGATCCTCTCTAGCCGCTCACAGGTTCCCATTATACTCCAGTGGAACAAAGCTTCAAAGAAGTTTGTCCCGCATGGTGAAATCCCCAACATGGAAGACGTTCTGGCTGTGAAGAGTTTCAGGATGCAAAACAACCTGTACATAACACTCACAAGATTCATTGGGGACTCCAGAGTTATGAAATGGAACAGCAAACAGTTTGTGGAGATTCAGGCTCTTCCATCCCGAGGAGCCATGACGCTGCAGCCTTTCTCCTTTAAGAATAATTACTACCTAGCCCTGGGAAGTGACTATACCTTCTCCCAGATATACCAGTGGGATGGTGAAAAAAAGCTCTTTAGGCTGTTTAAAGAAATCTATGTGCAAGCGCCGCGTTCTTTCACAGCTGTGTCAACAGATCGAAGAGATTTTTTCTTTGCCTCTAGTTTTAAAGGAAACACACAAATATTTGAACATATAATCATTGACTTGAGTTTATGAAAAGCTGCTGGAATGAAATTCTTGTAGAATGACATTTGTATACAAGCAAAACAGAGACCTTTCCAAGAACAGGCTGCACCTATGGAGTATGATGACATTTTCTGAACTTTAAAACTTGCATATTAATCAGGGAGTGCATTTACTTGATTGCTGCATGACATGTCTGTTTTATATTTTTTCAAAGACACTTTGCAACCTGCAGCCATTCAGAGGAGAGTGCAGTGCATTAGCATTAATTTTGATATCTTAGAAAATGATCTGAATTCTATCCAGGAAAATACTGTAAATTGAGCATCTCTTAGAGAAAGGGGCAAGGAAGCCGTACCATTTCTGTGCCAAGGCGCAGAAATGCTTTTGAGTCTTAAACTAACATCTCAGTAAAGGTTTTAAGATTAGAGGCAGTTCTTTATGGTTGCTGATGAATTGTAAAAGCAAATGGCAACATTCCAGAACGTGTTTTATTCTGGTTACTTGAGCCCTATTCTCAAAATCTGCATCTATTTGTGTTTATAACAAGACCAGGAGGTTTTAACTCACTGCAGATGAGGCAGAAAGTCAAAATCTGTTACTATCTTTCTTTTCTTAATCAGTGTTTCAGCAACAAATTGTGCGTAGCAAATAGCTCAGCCCAGAGTACTTGGATGGCCAGGAAATAAAGGTATGTCACTTCCAGACTGTGTGATCTTAACAAGTTAATATAGACAGAAACTAACAGAGGTCTGGTTGGTGCCATGAATGAAAAGACTGCAGATTGAGTCCACTTTGTGTACTAATAGGTGTTCCAGAATGACCTAGTTCAATCTCTTCTTGATGGTTCCAGTAGATTGGGGTGTATTAGCAAGGAGATAGTTGACTTATTCTTCCATGAGGCACAGCTTAAACTGAGTCTGTAACATACATTTGTGTTCTCCATGCTGCACCTCACCTCTACGCAGTGAGATGATTTATTCCCTAGAGCTCTTCCTCCAGCACAGCTCACAAGCAATAAGTTCAGGTTTCATTCATCACAAGCTGTATCTGGGGAGTCCTCCTGGCCGAGGACCAGATATGACTTCAATATCACCAAATCTTTTGAAACCAGGACAACTGGAGCTGTTCCAACCTAGAGTGTTTTCTGCCTCCAAGATGAAGAGTTTCCTCTTGGTGACTCCAGGCTTTTGCCAGGTTGCCATGCTGCTGGAGGTCTTGCAGGTTAAACAGTAGGATGTGAACGGACCACATTGCTTTGGTATTTTGGGTGGCTACAGACTAAGGCATTCATTCATCTTAAATAAGGCAGTCCTGGTGTGCACTGAGCCTCTGTCGGGATAGCAGCTGGCATCTGTTTTCCCTGAAAGGCTCTCTAACATACTAACCAACACAGCTGTACACAGAAGCTTTTTCTTTTTTCCATGTATAGATTATGCTTCTTTGTGTTTTCATGTCATGTAGCTTATCAAGTTATTTTCTCATGGATTTTGCTGCTGCATTTCTGCCTTGGAGACTTGGTGCAAAAGAAGCAGAGCAAACAAAGCTTTCCTTTGTTCTTCCGTATTTGAGAACATCTCACCATCTTTGCTATGTGAGCTTCACGTTTTTGCCTTGGACATGTGAAACATGGTTTGTTACTAAAACCAGAGATGTTCTCACAGGTTTTCCCATATCCAGGTTGAACAGTGCTGCAGGTGAGGATTGTGCAGAAGGGCTCCACGAGAAGTCACAACTAACAGTGACTGGGATATTGCAGCCTTCTCCAAGTTTTGCCGTGCTGCTCTGAAACAAAGTGTTATTATTGGCCTGTCAGAGATATAATTCATTTTATTCTGTTCTTAAATTACATGTTATTTTCTTCCTGTACGGTTGGTCATTTTGGTTTTATTTTTAATTACATGGGCAGTACCGCCCATACAGCCTCTGAAGTACTGGTTGGTGCTCTGCACTCCAAGTTCTAGCAATGCCTCTCTTAGGATCAGACTAACAAAGCCACAAAAGTAAGAAATAGTTCACGTGAACGAAACATCTTACCATTTTCCTCATTAGCTTTTAAAAGCCTCTCTTCATACAGCCACTACGGCTGACGAGCACATTAAGTTGTGTAGGAAGGCATTTTTTATTTCTTTCCTGTCTAACGTGTTAAAATACAGTCACGTATTCTGATGAGGAGGGGCACTTCTCAGCAGTTTCTTGTAGGGCTCGCTGCTAGTGCTATGCACTCATTGATGGCACACATCCAAGAGCTAAAAGCTGGCTTAGAGAAATTGGATCTTGATATTTTCTATTTGAGGGGAAGCAAGAGGACGGTGAGAAAGTGCTTTTGTATCCAATACCAGGAGATTGTACTGTTGTGAGGGAGTCCAGGGGATTTGAGACTCGGCTATCAAGTTGAATTAAATTAAAACGGTCTCCACAGAGACGGGCTTAATAAAGAGGATGAAGTGATCAGCAGGAGCCTGGCTCGTTCGCATGGGACCAGAGAGGAAAGTGGGGGAAATGAATGCTGCGGGCAGGCTGCCATGGATGTGAGGGGCTCTGCTGGGGCTTGGGGAGCTGGGCTCAGCATCGTGCTTCAGGACAGAGCAGGAGCTGCTGGGTGAGTGCACAGAGAGAGGAGAAGATCCAGAGAGAGGACGGAACAGCACCAGTTGGTGGGAAAAAGGGGGCAGGGTAAATTCCTCAGGGCTTAACAGCATCTCATAGTCTCGCTCTGCCCTTCCTGCTCCCAGGCTGAAGCAACCAAGCACCTAAATTCTGCCTTTCCAAATGCGACTACAGTTCTGTCTCCTGTGTTCTGTAAAGCAGTTGTTGCAAGTAGCGAATAATCTTTGCATATCCAGAACGGACTGCAGCTGTGAGAAAATCTCATGTGAGACAGGATGGCAGAACATCCCACTGGTAACTTTTGACGTGTTCTAAAATACACAATTCTGTAAAGAGCAGTGGTTGCTGTCAACGTAGCTTTAACACAGTGTGCTTGCTGCAGTGGGAGCACATGAAGGCTGTGTTCAATTCGGCCCTTTTTAGTAAAGAGGTGATGTACTCCGTGCTACTGACGCTGTATGTACTCTTTCATCCTTGAATAAAATGTAGTTACTGAGACTGACGGGGCTGTGCCGTGTTTGTTAAGCGTCCCTGAGCTGTCGGGCACACAGGCCGGGCTCAGCCCGGTCCCAGCAGCCCGGGCCTTTCGTGAGCGGTGTGGGGGTCTGGGAGTTGAAAGGAACGAAGCCGTCCTCTGCTCTTAGCTGTGCTCTTAGCCGAAGTTTCTGTGCCAGGCTCAGTCGGACGTGCATCCCCGGCCCGTGGTTTCCCCGCTCGCTCTTTTCGGACACCCCCTCTAGTGTTACCGAGTGCGCACTGCAGCTGCTGCAGCGTCCCGCCGTTCGCATGAGGCATTTTTTTCGTGTTTCCTCACCGCAAACACGAGAGATCCTCGTTTTCAAAACGTAAGATACTTAAGCGGGTTTCTTAAATGCGGAGTAGATGGGCACCAAACCCTGAAAGTAATCCACAGACTTTCACATCTTTACTGTGGGGTCTCTTAAGATTGATTAAATTTTATGCAGTCATCAGCCTTTACTTTGACACTGAAAAATAAATATAGATGTACCAACAGTGAATGCATGCTATTTCAAGCAACCCTTGAGCACAATCACTGATCGAGTCACTAGTAATGCAAGGAATCACTCTTTTTCTTTCCCTTTCCTCCTCCAGCAGCAGCACCATTCTCTATTGCTAATTTACAGCTTGCACAACCACAGTGGGGCTTGTGTACCACGATGGGATGCAATTGCTCCAGGACTGGTTTCTCCCTTTTGGGTATTCCATCTCTTTGTGAGTCAGTGGTCTTTGTGCATGCTTCACTGAAATGTCTAGCCATGGTTCATACATCAGCTGCAAGTCAGTCTGTTCATCTTTGAAAGTCACCTGTACTACCTTCCCCTATATGTGACTGCTGCTCTTGCCACAGAGCCTTGAGCTGATCTGCAGTGGTGTTTGGCAAAACTTTGTCTGCAAACTTCTGCCTAGTGGGCAGCTGCCAACACAGCAAGTTGGCCATGGTTCTGTGCAGAAGCACACACAGTAAAATCAAAGGCAAACAGCCTGACATCACAGATCTGTGAAGAAAACATTGAAAGGAAGCTTTAGGAGCTGCTCAGAGTCACACTGCAAACATTCACAGAGGGCTGTGATGCAATGTGGCAGGCCAGCAAGGAAAGGGCTTCTTAGAGTCTGTAGGATGTGTTGAGAGAGAAGGGATGGGTCTTGGGATGAGAGATTTCTGTGGGCATTTCCTTATTCCAATCTGGCTTCTTCAGTGAAATGGCTTGATTGCTGTTTGGTGGAAAGCAAGGAAAGTAGGTAGCAGGAGTTTAGTGCAAGTTAGTACTGGAATAGTATCTAGAAAACCAGAGATGGTGAGGCTGCAGACAAATGCTAGAGGAAAACAAATCATTTTCTAAGCACTGAGATATATCAATGTGAGATCAGAGAGAACAAAAAGAATATATGCTACTAAATAAAGGAATAGAAATGGCAGAATTTGAAGTGTGTGTTTAATTGCCTTATAGACAGAGTATCTAAATGCATTTCCAAGGTCACTCAGAGAATGCAATCCACATCATTTTCCCTTTCAGAGTCACCCTAGTTTATGCTTAATTAAACTATGCAAGCTCTGCACACTCTAGAAAATGCCCTTTTTATTACACTGTAGGTAATTTGCATTTCTGAAGGGCATTTGGGAACCATGACATCATCAGGATGAAGGGCTTCTGGTAGCGTTGCTCCCATTTTTATTCATTTGCAATTGTTGATTTTTATTCCAGAGCCCATTTCTATTTCCTGCCTGGACATCAGCTCTGGATTGTACAAGAATGCTCATTTCTGACTTCAGTGGCTGCTTCAGTTCTTCTGACTCAGCAGACCAGGGCAATGACTTGTCCCCCAGCTGCAGGTGTGCACTGGCAATTACTTCTCCATTTTCTTTTGGTGAATGAAAGGGCAGTGGGTCATGAAATACTCATCACCCATGGCTGCTGGGGTCAGCATGGAGCTGGCAGATGGAAGGAAGCAGCAGTACTGCTCACTGTGCGCTGATTTCTCTTTTCCATTTCTTTCTCTTCTAGTTTTGCCAGTGTGGCATGTGGTTTTGCCAGAGTTTAATAAAAAGCAAAGTGCCAGTGAGGACAGGATGGTGAAGATTTACTTGGGATGCTTCTCGGAGCAAGCCAGAATTAGAAAGGGGAAATCAAAGTTAAATCAGCAAATCTGCTTAATGATTTTTTCCAAACTCTATAGCCCAGGGGTCTCTTTGGATCCCAGCTCCTCTCAGCTCTTGCTGACAGCATTTTCTGACTCTGTTTTCTACCATTAGCTTATGGGGAGAAAACGACAGGACTTTCATTTTGGAGAAAAGCCCATTGCAGTTATCTACACCTCTGTCACCTGGGGATCTGATTATGTTGCTGGGGTTGCACCTTGAAATCATTACAATTAAGACTTAATGAAGTGCGTAACTACTGAGTCCTGCAGTTACTTCCCACCAACGTATTGCATCTGCCTCCAACGTATGAAGAGCAACCACCTGATTTTTATGATTTTTAAGAAAGGAGCCTCCTGCTTGAAATTTGTCCTGCAAAATCCTAAAATATTGGGGTTCTATGAGCTGCTTTTCTTCCCTATCTCTGTGCAGACCTGGTGAGCTTAGAGCAAATTGCTGGCTGAAGATGTGTGTGGGTTGGAGGGAGTGGAGGAGAATAAAAAAACTAACCAAAACCACTATTTTTTTTTTTTTTAATCTGGAAAGCAACCTTGAATAATGAGGGAATGCTGGGTGACAACTGCGTGGGGAGGACTCTGCTCATATCTAGGCTGATTTCCAGCACGTAGGTCTCTAATGCAGATGAGCAAGTCTGTTCTGTGGCCCTGGGAGCCCATGGGAAGTGTGGGATAGGAGCCTGTTTCTCTCTCAGGTTGTTCTTGTACATTAAGGAATGTTGCTGGACTCCATCCTCCAGATGATTTTTCTAACAAAGAGAGATACAATGACGTGGAAAAGTCTCAGGTTTGTGAAAACAGTGGGACAGGCAAGGTTTGATGGAGCTGCGCTTTGCTAGGGCAGTACTCAGTGGGCAAGAGATCAGGGCTCCTGTTGGCAGTGTCTGCTTGGTTTATCATGATGTGCATTAAGGATATATCTGACCTGATTCAAGAGAACAGGGTAAGTTAATTGGCACTTTAATGCCTTTTAGTCACTGTTGGCTTAAAATTGAGCATACCTGTATGCAAATACATTTCCCAATCTCATGCTGACTTTCTACTAACAGTGGTTTGTTCCTTTTCTCAGAAACGAATCAGATTTTGAGGTAAAATGAGAGGTAACAGAGAATTTGTCTCCACTGAGTTTCCTTTTTTTCTTCTTTGCACCTAATTTATTTGCCTCTCTTTCTAGTCTCTTGGAGGTTATGTCTGAATCAGTAGGCTGTAAGATCTATATGCCATTTTCATTTAAATGGTAACTGAGATGTTAATCTTTATTGTAGGACAACTCATATCAACATCTGCAGGCTGGATGAGGATAACTTGCTTTTTCTTGTCTGAGGGATTGTCAGTGGGGGCCAACTGGTGCAGATCCTGGTCTTTGGGCATAGTAGACAGAGAATTAAAGTTCTGGTGGCTTGGTATGAGGCAGCTCCTGGCCCTGCTTTTCCTCAGTGAAAGGAGCAGCTTCCGTACAGAAGGGAAGGAGGGAGGGAAATGGAGGGAAAGTTAAGCTATTAATCAGTGACAGTAATGAAGCAAAAGCAAAATCTCTCTTTTTAAAAGTCAACTGTTCTGCTCCATTCTAGATCTTAGCAGTTGAATGTGGCACTGCTAGTCTCTGTGATGTGGCTTGGTTGCAGGTTCTAGACCATGTGGAGCTTTAGGCTAAATAGAGGTTTCATACTATGGCAGGAAGAGAGGTGCAGATAAGAGTAGTCTACTTGTCAAGGAGAAGAAAATCATCCTTTGAATTCAAGAGTTCATGAAGGTGCTGAAAGCTGCAGGCTGCTAGGTGGATCAGTGTGCAGGTCTGTGCTGTCTGACCACGGACACTGGGCAACCCACTTGCGACACAGAACCACTGAATGGTGACCATCTAGTTCCAACCCTTCTGCTATAGGCAGGGATGCCTCCCACTAGACCAGGTTGCTCAAAGCCCTGTCCAGTCTGGCCTTGAATGCCCCCAGGGAGGGGGCATCCACAGCCTCACTGGGCAGCCTGTCCCCATGTCTCACTCTCTTTGCAGTACAGAATTTCTTCCTAACACTTAGTCTAAATCTATCCTTTCCCAATTTAAGGCCATTTCCCCTCATCCTGTCACTATATGCACTTATCAAGAGTCCATCCTCAGCTTTCCTGTAGGCCCCCCTTCATGTGCTAAAGGTCACTGTAAGGTCTTCTCAGAGCCTTCTCCAGGCTGAGGAACTTCAGCTCTCTCTCCCCTCCTTGTAGAAGAGGTGTGTATGGGAACTACTGAGTCACGGCCTGAATCTCTGATTGATCACCTGAGGTGAGCCATGAGCCAGCCAGAAGAGCACAGGTGAAGGCAATTCACCTGTGCTGCCGGAAGGGGTGGAGCCAGGCTGCACCTCTCCTAGACCTATTTAAGAGCTGACTGCCAGTGGGGAAGGATCTCATCTGGAGATCGCCTCTATTGGTGCTTCGTGGTGAGCCCAGCCGAAGGGTAAGCCTCCCATTTTGTTCTCTTTTGTTATCATTGTCCACTTTGCCTAACTCTCTTGATTATATTGTGATTGTAACATCTTGATATCCATTGATTATACAAGGTGCTCATGTGGGTCATAAAGGGGGCAACACAGAACTGGAAGAGTTCTGCAGTGAGAACTGCTGCACGTCTACTGCAGCCATCAGCAGAAGCATGCTATATTGCTTAAGAAACACTGCAGGAATATTCATTTTGTTTGGCTGTTACTTAATTTCATATTGGTGTTGCTGTCTTTGATATCTGCTTTTTGACTCCTCCAAGTTCAGTGACCTGAATATTAATAGTGTTTTCTACCTTCTTTTTTTGTTCTGTCTGTGCTAGCCAGGCCTAT